TGGTGCATCACTGAGAAGCTCATTTGAAGACTTGAGTTGTTCTTGTTTCTTCCGTCAGTCACAGTGAAGGTGGATCCTTCCCAGAAAGGCTCTGAGGAGACCGGAGCAGACGCCGGTCTCGGTCCTGACCTCACAGCCTCCGTGGAAACCACCTACAGCGAGCAGAGCTCCTCCTCTGCCGGCTCCTCCTCTTCCTCATCTGAGCAGCCAATCTACTTCCGGTGTGTAGACGGTGACGGTCGTCAGACAGAACGATGGCTGAAGAAGCATCAGAGCCGACTGAATATTCCTTCTCTCTGTGATTTTCAGGGAATTTCGTTTCACCTCTGAAGTGCCTATCTGGCTCGACTACCATGGGAAGCATGTGGTCATCGAGCAGGTGAGAGGTCACAAGAACAGCTCAGACACAGAAACCCAGCCTGTCCGTCGCCACGGTAACTACAGACGTCCTTACAGCGTGGTGTTTTGTTCCTCAGGGGACGTTTGCAGGGATTCTGATCGGTCTGGCTCAGCTGAACTGCTCAGAGCTGAAGCTGAAGAGGCTCTGCTGCAGACACGGGTAAAAACGACAAACATTCAGACGCCATAAAACAATTTCAGATCTGATAAAACCCTGACAGACTTGAGACTGCTTTCATGTTTGAAACGTTCCCAGTCTTCTCGGTGTGGACAAGGTGATCCAGTACGCCGTCACAGAGTGGCTGACGGACATCAGGAAGAATCAGCTGCCGGGCATTCTGGGAGGCGTCGGCCCCATGCACTCAGTTGTTCAGCTGTGTAAGCTGAAGCCTTCGCTACAGAAACATTTACAGTTTTAAACCTGCTTTATTTATTTTAGTCTTCTTTCCTTCCTCTCTGTGTGTTTGCTCAGTCCACGGAGTGAGGGATCTCTTCTGGTTGCCTATAGAACAGTACAGGAAAGACGGGCGCATTATTCGAGGTCTCCAGCGGGGGGCAGCATCGTTCGGTACCTCTACAGCATCGGCTGCACTGGAGCTTAGCAACAGGCTGGTGCAGGCCATCCAGGTACAAAGATGAAACAAAATTAAATGTTTTGTCCGAATGTGAAGATGTTTTAACTCATGTAGTGCTCGTCACCTCGCTACAGGCCACAGCAGAGACGGTGTATGACATCCTTTCTCCAACGCCTCCACTGAATCGGTTCGCCATCACCGAGGGTCGGGCCCCCGCCAGCCGGCCCCGCAGAGCCGCGCAGCCGGCGGATCTCAGAGAAGGAGTAGCCAAAGCCTACGACACCGTCAGAGAGGTGCGGAGTTTGAATTTTTCTTAAAAGATAATTGACATGACGGGACCCGTCAATCAATCCAGTGGATTTAACAGCAACTGACCAATCAGCAGTCGCAAATTGTCCCAAAGTGAACGCCCCTTACCTGGAGGAGCTGTTGGAGTTTATCTTTACGAATGCGATGCGCTCATAGAGGTTTGGTGGAAAATAATTGGAGATAATGGTTAAATGTTTCCAGTGGGGAACAGGCACTTAAGAAGCGCTTTCAGAAGATGGAATAGAGTTTAGTCCCAAACTCAAAGTGTAAAATATGGATAAACGTGTGCAGCCAACTTCAAGAGCAGCAGAATACTACAGTGACCAACAGTATAACTAACATGTTTGTGTTTATGAAGGTTTTTGTCATCATTACATTGTACGCTTAACGGTTAAATCAAAGACTAATGCGTCAAGCTGGGTCCAATAAATGTGAGCTGTGCCTACAAATGGGTACAGTTTCTCTGTCAAGCAGTAAGTTTTCAGGTAGGTGGTGCAAATATTCATGCACAGCCTGACATACATGATCAAAACATAATTCAGATATGTGATATTTTGAAAACCAACACAATACGCAGAGAAGAATGCCTGGATATGATGACAGAATCACGTTATAATGTGATAAAATGTCTGAATATTTTGGATATTCAGAGCTTTTTTTTTTTTCATTTAAAGTTATGACCAAACCTGCTTAATTTCCAGTGCTGACCCTTTCCTCTGCAGGGAGTGATCGACACGGCTCAGACCTTGTGTGACGTGGCGTCCCGCGGCCACGAGCAGAAAGGTCTCCCCGGCGCAGTGGGCGGCGTCCTGCGTCAGATCCCGCCCACAGTGGTCCGACCTCTGATAGTGGCCTCCGAGGCGACCTCCAACCTGCTGGGAGGCATGCGGAACCAGATCAAACCCGACGCCCGCAAAGAGGACTTCCTCAAGTGGCGCACGGAGGATGCACAAGAATGAGGACGGCGTGTGTGTGTGTGTGTGTGTATGTGTGTGTGTGTGCGTGCGTGTGTGAACGAATGAATGAATGCGAGAGGGAACCCCGATGTCTACTGGGGGATCTGGATGTTGGTGTGTATAGGAATGTTGTTCTGCAATGCAAAAACAACACAAAGACTAACTGCTACTGCAGCCACTGACACAAAGTTTTACACACATGTAACCACACCTAACTCTTCTGCTGCTCATCATCCCTCGATCTGCAGGTCGCTCTTCATGTCTCTGTAACAACATATCGCTGCTTTTATCTGGCTTTGATTTCAAACCAACCAGGAGCAGGAAGGATCAGAACGAGATGCAGATTGTCGCCTCTTTATGTCCTGCTAAAACTGGTTTTCCGATTCAGTTTTAACCCGACGACTGTGAGCAAGAAATCAGAAAGAAATGGCTTCAGTACAGGGAGTTTGCAGCAGGAAATCAGTGATCCTGAAGCTCAGTAAGAAGGAAGATTGTGTGTTTCATGTTTATCCATGTTTGTGAATGGTTCTCATCTTGAACCGTTGGTTTGGTTTTGAGCCCGCTATGCACCTGCTCCTCTCAGCGCTGATGAGTTGTGCCATAAACCTTCCAGAGTGACCTTTGAACCCGTCTGTGTTGCCTTTCTCTGACCTGTACCCTCCAAACGTGACTGAATAGAAACACATGAAGCCCTTTAAAAAAAATCCTGTAGCATTCTGGACTTCATGAATTTGTTTTTACGGACTGATTTCAGTCGGTGGCTCTCCTTCCTGCTTCTGTTTTGCATAAAGCGGTTCTGGGGTCTGAACGGACCCAGACTGACTCTTTCCACATCTTTAGATGCCTTCCTAAATGTTTTTTTTTTGTTGTTGTTGTTGTTGGGTTTTTTTAATGCTTAACTGTTTGTTTTGTGTTTATGTTGAAGCATAAGTATTGTTATACTCGTTTCATAATGAGTGTTGGGAGGATTTGAATCTGGTGACAATGGAGGAAGGAAATGAGGAGTTTTACATTTTTATCTTTGTTTTCCTGTTTGTGAGTGAGGGATTATTTGTGTGAATGTGAGAGGATGAGTGAGTGGAGGACGCATGTCTGTGAGGGTGACAGGTTTATGCTTGTTACACTACTTGTGTGTAATTACTATTTACTATAAAAAGTGTATGACCTGTATATTACAAAAACAAGTATACAAATTAATACAAAAATAAAAAAAATTATATAAAAACTGATCATGTTTGATGTGTTCTGTTAAAGCCCTTGCTTTTGATTTAAATGTTGTACTTCATGCAGTTTTGTTCTCATAACTGCCCACAAACACCTGTGACACAAAGTCTAAAACCGAAGTAATAACGTTATTTATGTAATTTTAATAATAAAAAAAAGTGTCTAAGTGCCTTTTTACAGCTGCTTGGGTGTGGGACTCAAGAGCTTTTTTATTTTTCGACACTAAAGCAGTATAAAATCAAAGTGAGATTGATGCTCAGTTTTCTAATGGTTCCCATTTGGTAACTTTCCAGCAAACCTTTCTTCAAGCAAATATAAAAGCAGCTTGGAGAAAAACATCAGCAGCTGTAAAGGTTGTGGTGCCAACCAAACTGAGCCTTTTCTGTCATTTCCTGTGGCCTTTGACCTTTGCATCTCTGCATGCAGCTGCAGGTTGCTGATTGGTTTGCCAGATTGTGCGGTTGTTCTTTAAGAATTGGTCGCCTGCTGAGAAGTCTTGCAAGTTTTACTGCAGCCCTTTGCTCTGATTGTACTGACCTTTGACCTCTCCTCCAGTCAGTGAAGAAATGTATCTATTTACCAGCAGGGAGTGATGTTCTTTTGTTTCCTTCCTTCAATTCCTTGGTTTTTGTTGCGTTAAGCTTTTAAAAACCCTAACCCTTCATTCTGTGTACTGTTTACAATCGAGACACTGATATATTCTTTAAGATGTTGACACAAACATGCTCATAGCAATATGAAAAGTTAAAGGAATGAACCTCCTTTAATAAAATACCAAACTGCTTCAGAGTTTGGTACTTAAGTGGACCAGAAGAATTTTTTAAATTACTACTCCTTATGACTGAATTTTTTATTGTCCAAACTAGAAAAATATCTATATTAGTTAAATCTTTGCAATATTAAATTACTTCTATTAAAGAAATTGCATAGTTTTTGCTGTTATGTCAATATTAGAAGATCATTATGCAATCCTGAAACAACTAAACTTATGTTGTCCTGATCTTCAGAAAGTATTCTTAACTTTTTGGGAGCAACATACTGCAGTACCTGGAGAAAACAAGCTGCCATTGTAATTACAGGGAGCCTAAATATATGTGTCTGGTTTGTTATGTCACGCCTGGCTGCAGCTATCATGGCTGTGATCACAACTGTTGTATTCAAGGATTTTTTTTTTTTTGTACTCAAATGATGCTAAAGCTGGCTAATAATCTACAGGAAGCAAATGGATATAACATATCTTTTTAAACAGAGAGTAGATTGCAATAATGGTTACTTTAAAGATGCATTTAAAGTTGAGTCAATGTCACAAAAACATGCTAAAATTACACTGGTTGCTCTATTTAGTTTAGAGAAACCCAAAGAAAAAAGAAAAGTTAAATTAACCCAAAAACACAGGACCTGGACAAATGTTAATTTACGTCAAATCAGCAAAGTTTCGTAAAAATAAATAAAACATTTAGTGAATTTCAGATGGGATTAAAAACAATGCAGAGTACTAGAACTGTATCGAAAACGTCCTACTGCTTTCAGATGCCAACTCGGAACTAACTGTCACCGAGTCAGAGATCGTCAGGACTCATTATGGTGGTGCAACAACAGTAGTTCTCGTACACATGTTAGCGCTTCAGCTTTAAATTACTTCAACAACAAGCTGTCTCTCTGTGGCTCATTCAGCTCTTATCTGTGAACTTTTAAACTTTTGCTTGATCATGAAGCTACTTACGCACAACATGTTGACGTCGCACGTGAAGGGAGTAACCAAGGGATACCCGCTGCTCATCAAGGTAAACCGCTAAAGTCGGCTAGCAACTAGGCTAATGCTAACGCCGAGCTATTCGGATTTAAAGCGCTCTTATTTAATTTTCTGAATTCAAGTCTGTAGAGCTTCATAGAATACATCTAGTACTCACCGAGGTTGCTATATGAAGAATAAAGACAAAAAAATGTATACCCCATTTGTAGAAGAATAAGATAGAAATCATAAATAAGGAAAAGTAACATTCAAAGCACCTTTATATGTTATTTAAGTAAATATATGCACTCACTCTTTTTATTTATAGAAATATCCCTGTTTTGCGTAAAAGTTCCTGGTACTTTGCTATTTTGTCACATTTAAACATTTTAGATCAGTGTTTCTCAGCCCTGGTCCTCACCGACCCCCTGTCCTGCATGTCTTAGGTATTTCCCTTCTGCTACACACCTGAATTGTATCTCTGGGTGATTAACAGGCTTCTGCAGTACTTGATGGTCATGCAATCATTTGAATCAGCTGTTCTGGAATAGAGGCACATCTAAAACATGCAGAGGGGTCGCGGTGAGGACCAGGGTTGAGAAACACTGTTTTAGATCAATAAAGTAGATATTAATATGATACAAGAATAAATTAATACAAAATGCAGATTTTAAATGAGGATTTCATTTGTTAAGATGAAAATATAAGATATAAGGGAATGTACATATGCCAAAAAAAAGTCAGCTTAGTTGCCTCGTCTATCCATAGAATATTTTTTGAACAGTGTTGGGACTCATCAGGATGATTTTTGTATGCATTACTGAATCATAAACCCTGACTCTAACTGTGGTTAACTTAAAGCCTTAGAAATGGCTCCAACCTGATTTGCTGTTGATCAGAGACCCTGATAGTCCAATCTGACAGTGTGGTGTTTATGAATGATGTGATCTTTGTGCAGGCCACTGAGGTGAAGGTGAACGAGGTGGATTTCAACCCTAAGTTTGTCTGCCGGATGATCCCCAAACTGGAGTGGAGCGCTCTGGTCCAGGCTGCAGACCAGGTCAGTCAGAGATCAGCAGTTTTCCTTCCATCCTGCAGGGCAGAGGTATTTAACATTTGTCCAGACAAGCATTTGTGACACGGTGTTTGTTTTCCGCTCCTCAGCTGGGCCATCGAGAGGACCTGCCAGGTGAGCTGGTGCCTGACTATGAGAAAAACGAAGACTTCCTGAAGAAAGTGCACCGAGTTCTGCTGGAGGTGAGGATCGCTCAGACTTTACCGTCCACTCTTACAGCTGCTGCAATACTTACTGCAGAGTCCTGCTTGAAATAATAGTTATAATATGTGTTATTGCTCTGGATTAGAGCTTTGTTGTTTTATTTTATTGGTACACTTTGTGTTCCCAGTAGCCAGAGGTAAGGCTCTGTTCCTATTGAAACTGGTTCTCTCAGAGGAAAAGACTAACTTTTGTCAAAGGGCTGGAGGCGAAGTCATAGATGGTAACTACCAATCAGAATATGAAGAACACCACATTCAGAACTCTGGAGTTACTTCAACTTTTGATTTGTCTAATAAAAAAACTAAGATATAAGACAAACAAAAAGCTATGTTTACTTTATAACAACAATAGCTCTGACTTTTCCTCTGTTTATTGTGATGTCACCCTTCTTAGATCTGTAGCGTCAGTAGCATCCCACATCAAGATGTTTTTACTGCAGCTCTTTTCCACTAAATTCAAAAACATGATTTCCAACTCTTCTTAACCACTGCTGATCAGATAACGTGATCCTGCTTCAGATTCTGTTTAGCTCTTGTTTGCTGCTGGACAAGGATTCAGTCTGTGGTTTTAAAAATGAAACGGGTGCAAGATTCTGAGAAAAACCCTGTTTTGTGTTTTCAAGCTTTCTACCAGAGGATCAGATATTTACTGGATGAATTATTTATTGACGTCATGATGTGGCTACAAGCTAGCTGGCATTAGCCCAGGTTATGACCTGGAATCACTTTGTTAGGCCTGTCATGATAACAAATTTTGCTGGATGATACATTGCCCCTGAAAGTTCAATAAAGTTTTATTTCTAACAAACATTTAACACTTGAACTGGAAATATTGAAAATTAAATAAACAAAACACCTGAAACAACAACTAACATAGACACTGAAGTCTCTGCAAATAAAATTGTCCTTCAAAAAGTGGACTAGTTGGGACCAAAGCACCAATTTATTCCTTATTGCAATAAATTTCTACGATTTGGTGGAAAATCTTAAATCAGGACTCGCAACATTACAACCTGTAGAGCATTTTTTTCCCCCCTCAGTCCAGACAAATACACTTTCTATAGAGCTGCAAAAGCTGCATGACCCCTGGAAAAAAAGATAACTTAGCAACTTTCACAAATGCATTCCAGCAGGCATTTGTTGTGGTTTTTAAATAATTACCATTTTATTTTTATTTTCATGTTTTCAAGTACAGAAAAACATCAAAGTTTCACAAAAAAGGAAATAAATGCATTTTCTGAAGCGGAATGTTCAAGATTAGTTGAAAACAATGTCAGGAAATAAATGGCCCGAATTATTTCTTGACAAAAGACTAGAATAACAAAAAAAAAATAAAAATCCAAATGCTGTTGTGTGTTGTCTGAGTGTCGTTTTCATCTCAAACCACAGAAAATAAAATTTTTATGTTCTTAGAAGAGTTTTGGTGTTTAAAAAGACCCCCAAAAAACTAAAGTGCCATCTGGTGATGACCTCACTCAGCTCCTGTCTGTCCTGCTGCAGGTGGAGGTGATTGAGGGATGCCTGCAGTGTCCTGAATCGGGTCGAGAGTTCCCGATCTCCAGGGGAATCCCTAATATGCTGGTGAACGAGGACGAGGCCTAGACGGCTCAAACTTCCACCCAGACGGGACTGTTTTGTTTTTCAGAGACGAGCCGGACTCTGGTTTTAGTCGGCTCCATGGGAGAAAAGGCCGCATCCCTCGGTTGGTTGTAGTTATGACATTTTAAGCGGCTCCTGCTGCCAGCAGATGGAAAAGATTAGAAGAATAATGGATGGAAATGTTCCCTGAGAGTAAACCCCCAACCCCAGTGGTTTAATCTGTATTTATTTTTGTAACTGTTTCAGCTTTTTCTTTCTCAATAAAACTGCTTCCTGACAGCCAAAATCATTAGGTTTTTGTGGAAAATATGGATTCACTTATATTACAGATGTAGAGCCGCCGAGAGGAACTGCTCTGAACCCCATCTCGCCCTCTCTCAGGGTTGGATGACGTGGCAGTGGCTTGTCTATATTTGGCTTTAAGGAAAAAGAGGGAGAAAAAAGCAGGCAGGCTGGAAGTTGTTTTTAAGGAAGTCTGTTTTTTTTCTCCCTCTCTTTAAAGCCACACATTACAGCTCTGTAACCCACACACACGACACCCCACCTGGGCGGGATCCGCGGATCTGAGATGCCCCACAGTTTGCCGGAACCTCCTGACAGACGGAGGCGATGCTGCGTTGATGAATAAAGAAAGAGGTTTTCCGTTCGTTTCTGGCCGTCTTTGGATTAAAGCCGGAGTCGAGTCAGAACAGGAGCGTGTTTGTTCATTATCATTTTTAGAAACTCTGCCAGGACAGAGGATAAAAGGAAGGGTTGGCCTGACCAGAAGCCTTGAGGCTGCCTGAGTCTCTCCTACCTTTCCCTTCTACTTACTGCAATTACAGGCCTGCGCCCGCAACTATAATAACGGTATAATGTGATGGCAGCAGAGCAGCAATAAAAGCCACCCCTGGCAGATTAATAGTCCTCCAGAAGTGCTGAGCTGTAATTAACAATGAGACTGAAGAGGAACAGACAGAAAAGAAAGGAGCTCGACTCTGAGCGTGTAAAGCTGAAGATAAAAATGGATAGGCTGCTTTCTGAGCGGTCTAATAAAATCAGGATGAAACTCGTCAGCTGGCAGCGCGAATAAGCTGGAACTGCAAATCACACCCGGGATCCGACCCATGAATAATTTAAGGCTGTTTTCATGGTGCTAAAGGTAGAGGTCTGGGCCAATACTGTTGACACTTTTCATCTCGGGGAAAACAGGAAATGCCTTTAATTGCTCCAAAGGTCGCACATTTCAGCTCAGGGGTCATGTTTCATTAATGAGAACAAAGTCTGTAAAAGTTGAGCTGATGGACTTTTGAAGTCGACGTCTTTTGAGGGAACCTGAAAAAGCTGCAGTGCAGAGGCATTTTAAATTCCTGTTTACTGTTAGTGTCCACCTGTATTTAATTTCATGTCTCAATTTGAGAGTAACATGATTATTAATTATCAGTAATAATTATAATTAATAGAATAATAACTTGTTATTTTATTCTCTAAAACACCCCTCAGTTTTAGTTTGACCTGGTTCTTGGTTCAAATTCTGTATAGAAAATCTCCTATAAGCATATTTGCCTAAACTATTATTAATTAGTTCATTAAAAAATATACATTCAACAGGCTAACCATACACTTTGTTGATATTGAGTCGAGCAGAAAGCTCTGAATTTTTCACATGTTGATGTCAGACGTTTTTGTTTTAGCTGCAGATGCATCCTTTGCTTCAAACGATTAAGTCTAAGTAAACATTGTTATTGCGTTTTAGGCAATTGCATGTTTATTTTCTTGTTTAAAAATAGAATTGAGTTTGCATATTTGCATTTTTTCCATGTATTTGTAATATAGTACAAAATGAGCTCAAGCTAAATGCAAAATCAGCAGTGTGCCAATTTGTATCTGATTAATTGTTGGAATAATCAATACAACTATTAGTTGCAGCCATGCCTGAGTGACTTTTACCATTTAATGTGATAGAACAGCTCAAAGTAGAGCTTAATTGTGAAGTGCAGAGAAATAGAGCAAAAATATTCAAAAAGGGTTTAAAAAATTAACTTTGCATTTGTATTCCAACCCCTTTACTTTGTTGTCCACAAATGAAGTCCACTGGCAGAAACTCCACTAAAGTTGGAATTAGAAATTGATAAATTGGGAATGACAGTCCCAACCTTAAAATCCAATATGGCGGCCCTGCATATTAAAGTAGGAGCTTACTAGTAGAACAGTGGCTGTAACACCTCAATAACCCCAAAGTGAGACAATGCAGGATATTTATATCCTGTTCTACTCTGAATGGGCTTCCAGTAAGTGAAGTGAGTCCAAATATTTATCGTGAGCTAAATGGAGTTTCCTTCTTGTGTTTTGCTGACCCCTACAGAGTTAATGGCCTGGTCCCCGGTAATAAACCTGCGGTCAGCCTTAACGTTGGTCAGGGATTATGGCGCAATCCTGGCACACGGGATGTTTACCTGCTGAGCTGCATTTCTGATGGGTAAATATTGCAAAATGTGCAACTCTGTGAGCCTCTATAGTGAGAGGATTACTTCTGTCTGCATAATGACACACACTCCCTTCATCCTGGTGGCATCCGCCCCACTAGCACCTCTTCCTCCTTCTCCTCCTCCTCCTCCTCCTCCTCCTCCTCCTCCTTTTTTCCCTGAGAGGCTCTCTCTGTTTGGGGCTCTGTTTCTCACTGACGATCTGCAGGATAATGCACTCACATCATCCGCCAGGTCTCTGTGTTTTTACCAGACATACCTCGCTCATTAAGAGGAGGATTTCCAAATTCACCGCAAGATTTCTTTCTATTTCTGAACGTTTGCTGCAAAGGGACTTGTTTCATGTTTCTCTGCTTCGTGTGTTTTTGTTTTATTCCCCATGTTTTTTGCTCATGTGAGAGACAGTAAAGGACTTGCCGTGTTTGTTCCAGTATAAATCATACGCGTTTTTTCATATACATGTATATTTTCTAAGTGCATTCAGCCTTCTCACCTAAATCGGGTGATGGGAGGACCTTATTTGGTCTTTTTGGGACTGTAGCTGTATTTTGTGGAAGCGGATATGGGCCAGTTTTCTGCTCCACAGATGCGTCTTTCAGAGGTGAGAGCGCCGGAGCCGTGCTGCCTCGGATAAACTGCAGGTTTTTCTGTTTGGAGGATTTGCGACATGGGCTGAGCTCCTGTAATGACTCTGCGTTGGTCTCCTGAAAGCTGCTCAAATATGCGAGGATGGACGGCAGGAAGCGGAGACTGATGAAGCTTTAATTTCTCACGCACCGGCACCGGAACAACTGGACGTTAATTCTAATTTAGTTAGAAAGTCGAATACGTCAGTGATTTGGTTTATTTTAAATCTTTCTTTTTTTTTAAGTAATGACAATGCCTATTTTATTTCTAATATATGATGGGCGCATGTACAACTTAATGAGAGCAGAGAGAAAAAGTTGGTTATCTGTTTAATATTATTATTATTCTAATTGATCAGAGGTGGAAAAAGTTGAGACTGTTTGCGCTTTTGGATCACATTTCCTGCGCGTTTGGTTCGGAGACGCAGCCTCGCCGTTCAGGGAGATCATTTCTTCCCTCATCCCCTCGACCATGTGGCTCCCCTTCCTCGCCCTCCTGCTCCTTCTGCGGCTCTCCGAGGGGATCAACACGTGTCAGTCCATCGACCTGGACGCGCAGAAGTCGCGGCGCATCGAGGCGGTGCGCGGCCAGATCCTCAGCAAGCTGCGCATCCGCAGCCCGCCGGAGGACGACGACGATCCGCCGTCGGGCTCCGTGCCACCCGAGGTCATGCTGCTTTACAACAGCACGCGGGAGCTGCTGAAGGAGCGCACGCGGCTGGCCGAGTCCGCCTGCGAGCGCGAGAGCAGCGAGGAGGATTATTATGCCAAAGAGGTGCAGAGGATCGACATGCAGCCCCCCCGCACCGACTCCAGTAAGTGTCCGGAGATCAACGGGGTCAGCCGTACATATGGTTTAGTGCCAGAGTGTTTTAATGCACGGTCGTCACTGTTTTAATAATTAAAGACAATATATTTTTATTTGATTTGCCCTCTGAGGTGAACACGTGTGTTTAGATTTGGAGAAAAAAAAAAAGACAAATGAATAACTAATAACTAATATGCATCTCTTTCTGAGAGAAAACCACAGGGGCAATTTAATTCATAACTGAAGATTATGAGTTTAAATACAATTATAGAAATTAAATGTCTTATAACCACTTTTTATCAGCTCCACTTTTTATCAGTGGAGCTAATGTTCATTTGCCTTGACCATTAGCTCCACTTCCCAACCTCAGACGCTTTATGTCATCCTTTGTATTTAGCTTTATGAAATAAGAAAAGACGCGAAACGTAAATCACGTCGTATTTTTATGTAATTTCTCTCTCTTTTTTTTTAAATTAACATTTTACCAGCTGATAAATTACATTTTTCCCAACATTAAATCGACCCGTCAGAATGTAAACACCGTATATTCTTTATTTACTGTTCACTGGTGTGATTTACACTTTATTTCCCTGTAACGAGACAATCTAATCGATTCCCAGGTGATTCTCTGTGGTTATTTCTAGCTGCCAGATTTATGGGCTGAGATCATTTACACTGGATTCCCACTAGGTGTCAGTATATGGAGTGAATTTCAGTGAGGGAAGGAAACGTAATGACTATTGAAGGGTTAAACCTAAAGTGGCTTACTGTTTAAAACTGTTAAACCATCAGTAATCTCCCTATTCTTTACTTTAATTTCTCCAAAAATCCCTGGAGAAATGTTGATGTTGCATCACTGTTGGGTGCACAAAGTTTGTCATTACTTTTTTAGTCCACGCCTTGAAATGGTTCATTACAGAGAAACATAGATCAGAGTTTTAGCGCCCCCAAAATGATCAAACGATGAAAAAAAGGTTTATTTTGAAAGGCTAAATAATTCTTATTTCATGGCTAATTGTTTGGTTGCAGTAGGATCCAAACATGAATTATGAATATTTTATTTTTGAGAGTCCAAATTAAATAATCAACTAATTTAGTAATCAAATAATCTTTAGCTTAATTACAAACCCCAAGTTTCTTAAATGTGTTAGTATTTTACGTTAGTTTTGATGTGAAAGTAAAAATTAATCCTTTAGAAGAATGTTGGTTCTTCTTTATGTGTTTTATCACTTTCAAAATAAGAAATACTCTGTGTTTGAAGGGTACATGTGAGCTGTACTTTAAAAATCAACGTGTAAACTTTATTCTGCCAAGTTTAAACCTCCTCATCACATGCAGGGTCCCTGGTTTCCATAGTGATAAATGTCTGCAATCCCTATCTGACTGAAATTCGTCTCTGGTTTTCAATTAGTCTTAATCGTAAGACTAATCGTAATTAGTCTTACAATTAATTGATAAATCGGATAAAAAAAATTGCCACATTCTACAGATTTTTATTAAGCCACAAAAGCTAATTTTATACAATCTTAGAAGTACATTAAAAATGCAAATAAACAGATAATTATATTTATTTTTTAAAATAAGGAAATAAACATTTTACTGCCTAAAATGCAATAACATAGCATTCCTTTAGTGCACACTTGATCATTTGTAGCAAAGAATGCAACTAAAAATACTACAAATACTAACATTTTCTGATGGACTTTACATCAGTGAGGTGTAGGGATGCTCTGTTTAATTGTTGGATTAATTGATTAATAATTGGATAGGAAAAGGTTCTTAATTGGATCGCTCCTGGATTACTGTATTTTTAGATGTAGAGGTTGATAGACAATCAACCACTCTAACAAGAAAAAAGCTTCCCTGAGAGTGGGATTGCTTCATTTCATAAAAGTTTTTGGCGCATTTAAAGTGTGGTTGTCTAAGATGGGGTATCCAGTGTGCTGCGCTGCTGCAGAGGAACCATTTAGCTTTTGTGGTGGCAGCGGGTTTTGGTTTAACAGACCTGTGGCAGATTGAAGGGTAATTGAGCTGGGTATTATGTGATTACATAACCGGGTGATTTTTCATGCACTCTACCCATCAATCATCCATACGTTATACATAAAACCCAACACTTTAAGCCTGTAATTTAGCCTGAAGACTCTCATCAGCAGTAATTATGTCCGAGACAATGCATCAGTCCCACAGTCTGAAGACTTGACCGTTAGTCACAGTTCTGGATTTCTTTCCCGTCCAGATGCCTTGCAGCCGGCGGCACCGAACCTCTACTACCGAGTGGTCCACTTTGACGTGAGGGATGTGGATCTGATCAACAGCACCCTGGTCAAGGCTGAGTTCAGGATCTTCAGAGCTCCCAACCCACAGGCTCGGGCCTCGGAGCAACGAGTGGAGCTCTACCAGGTACACTTTGTCCATGCTTCACATGTTTCATGGTTAAAATCTATTTCCACAAGTTATAGAGATGAAGAAATTGTTAAATTGTTAAAATCTCCCCCCTCCTTCTACCTAGCAACCCAAACTGAGCTGCACCACGATTGGTTTGCTGGTTTAACTGCTGTGTGTGCTGCACCATATCCGCTAGGAAATACAAGAGTTTTGTTGTTGACTTACCATTCAGAAAAAAACTTTCTTTTAATGTGGCCTTTATTTTGAAAGCAGACCATTTCCTGTACTTATTCGTGAAGGACCTGCCTGTGATTTAATTTACTGCTAACGTTGTGTGGTGTAGCATCAGACGACCAGTTCCCTGTTACAAAGGAAGACAAACATGGTGTTGGCATTTTCTCAACCACTGAGCTCCAAATGTTTCTTAAATAAATTGGTATTTAAAATTTGTTGTTTTGCTTCCAACAATCATAAAACTATACAATGACCCTAAAAACAAATCAATTAATTTTTTTGGTGTGGAGTGATGAAGAAAGTGTAGAAATGGAGAAATTTATCATAAAACTCTAGTATTGGAGATTTTTTAATTTATGTGGATTTGAAGTTTTTCAACAGTAGTAATAGGAAGACTGTTTTGGTTGCTGCAGATTCCTGACTCTGTGTGTTTTAACTTTTTTTTTGTTGCAGTTTTCATTTAACTTTAGGTAGGAATTCATAAACATGGTACAATGTGCAGTTGAATCTAAAGCTTTTATGTATAGTTCAAAAATTTACCAAACATTTTTAAGTAGAAAAAGTAGCTGCATTGTCCAAATTTGGACAAATATAAGAACAAAAACATAATGTGCAAAAAAACAACAAACTTTTGCTCTTTAAATGCAATAAGGAGAGCAGAGTTTTCTCTGACTCAGTGAGTTATCATGTCTTAGGCTGAGCAGCATCACGTCTAGATATATGTCTAACATTTTAAATATAATCTAATGTTTGGCAGAGCTTTTTTTAACCCAGCATGTTTTATGAAAGGGTTAAAATCTGTTCAGTCATCCTGCTGTCTGCTGAAGTCCACCTTAAACCCAAAGTCATCTGGACTCTTCATAAAGTTCCCTGTTTAAGTGTCAGCCTGTGTGAACAGCAGATGTTAGTTTTACACAAACACACTTTCTGTTGCACGTGCAAAAGCTAGCCAGTTAGCAAGGCCGTGTTATTCACTGACCATACAAAATGTGATTCCTGTGTTTCCGACTGGTCTGCCAGTTCCGTCTGCCAGAGTGCATGAACTCTGTCCTTTTCTTCCTGTGGGTTTGTTCTTCCAGATACTGAAGCCAGAGGAAGACAGCACGTCCACTCAGCGCTACATCGACTCTCGGACCGTCCAGCTGAGAGCTAAAGGAGCCTGGCTCTCCTTGGACGTCACAGAAACAATCAAAGACTGGGTGTCAGATCCAGGTTAGCTTCCTGCCGCTTATGATGCAAACATCTGTTTGTGTGGTTCATCTTCATGTTTTTTCCTGCCGCGCTCTTCTTCAGAAAACAATCTTGGCCTGAAGCTGGGCGTCCACTGTCCCTGCTGCACCTTCGTCCCATCCACCAACAACATCGTCCCTAACAAGAGCGAGGAGCTGGAGGCGCTGTTCGCTGGTTCGTTCTCATGTCTTGGCTTCAGATTAATTATGCGTTTGAGGTCCAGCCTGGTGAGCAGGACTCCTGCCTTTTTTGTGGGCCTCACATTGTTTGTTTAGATGTTGACTGTTTATACATGACTGCACATTATTTGCATGTGAAAATAAACGGCATGGAGAACCGCAGAACACAAAAGGAGCAAACTTAAACCTCTGCTGCATCACTTTGAAAATGATAAATGCAGCCTTGCAGATTTATTACTATACCATCCATCCTCCAGATCATGAGCTGTGAACTCAAAGAGGAGAATATTATGTAAGAAGCTTTAAAAGGGATCCATGAATCACTTGCTCACTATCGTGCAGGAATAAATGCGAAACTGTTCCTCCGCACACTGAGATACTGTTTAATTCCAGACTGTCTGTGTTGCCTCATGTAGGCCCTCAAATTATGGCGCTCAGAGGATTTGCACTCGGCTCTGCCAAGTCTGATTTTTTTTTTCTCACACTCTGAAAAAAAACATGCAATTTGTGATACTCGGAAGACAAGCAAGGGCTTGTGTTTGTGCTCTGGTGGTTCAAAAAGAGACAGTAAAATCATAAAGTCAGACGAACTGTCAGGTCGTCAGTGCTGGATTTTTTAAAAAAAAATTCTTATGCAGAACATCTGTATCGCATTCCTTTATGCTTCGTTTACTCCTTAAAAAATGTCAAAACCTGGAAAATAAGATTTTTCTTTTGCCTTCCTCAGAAGTACGAAGCACATTGGGGAAAGAAAAGCACAGATGCAGTATTTGTCTGCGTTCATAATTATAGAGAAACAAACACTTTGCATTTAGATGTTATCATTTGTACGCGTTTTAGTGGTACGGTCACTAAAAGTGAACCCAGTGACACATTGTGCACGCTTAGTTGCAAGCATTTTAATTCTCTCAATTTCTATATTTTTGTTTTAATGTTTAAAGTGTAAAGAGGAAAACAATATTTAATATTTTAAAATGATTTAGTTTTTGTGTGGCAAGAGTTTATATTCAGTAGAAGCCAATTAAGTTTGTCAGAGAACATTAGTGAGCAAACAATGAGCACAACCAAACCTTTTTAAAAACGAACACTGCATATTTCCTGACCTGATAACAAAATCCCTACTGTAAAACACGGTGGAGGCAGCACCATGCTGTGGGAATGCTTTTGGTTGAACAATTACAGAAGAAACCTGTCAGAGGCAGTAAAAACCTGAGACTGAAGCGAAGGTCCCGCTTTCCAGCAGGGGGAATAACCCAAACTGTACATCCAGAATGGCCTAGTTCAAGTATACACCTAAACTTCAAATGACAATTTGTGGTTCAGCTTGAAAAGTGTGATGTTGTGCTTTAGCTATCTCAATCAAAACACGTAAAGCCGCATGTGGAGCGAGAAGCGACTCAGAGGGGGTAGATACATGCGCATGCCACACTTTTCAGATTTTATGTGTAAAAACTTTTGCAATTTGTTATTTTGATTTATCACATAAAATCAAAGTAACAACTGGAAATAACTATTTTGAGGAATCCGGAATAATTTGAGTTACAACAAGGTTCGGGATTAATAAAGTACTTTTTATCTGAATTGGAGTGAATTCTAGAAGAGCTGGTGGTTTTTCATCTGACCGTCTCGTCGCTTTCTGTAGGTGTCGATGACGAGCGGCTCCGTCAGATGAGGAAGCCCGGTCAGGTTAAAGGCCAGCCGGATTTCAGCACCAAGACGCCACACCTCATCCTCACCCTGCTGCCCAGCGACCGAGTGGACAACCCGGCCAAGAAGAACCGTAAGCGGCGGGCGGCAGCCACAGAGACCACAACCTGCTCCCGGTAGGCCGCCTTCCAGCCGCTCGTGTGCGGGTTTCTCTCTCTGACTGACAGCTCTGACACTCCTCCACTGTCTTCAGTTTGGTCATTTTGAAGAATAGCTGCGGTGGATGCCATATTTCTTTTTTTTTTCCCCCTCCTGACCCACTTTGCTGAGTATTGTGTGGCAACCCTAACAGCCCTGACTCTGTGTTTAGAGAGCAGGCCGACGGGTGTGCAGTGTTTTATTTAGACTGCCCCGTGCTGCAGGAGAAAACTCTGGCAGCCCTGCATGCTCATTACTTTGTGATGGCGGTAACCTGTTGTAATTTTCCCATGACCCAGATCTGGGTTGCTGCCCTGCAGAGCGGGATGGAAAGCTGAAAAGTCACTTTGTGCATCTGCCTTTGTGTTTCCCAGAGGGTCGGAGCAGGGCTGCTGCCTGCGCTCGCTCTACATCGACTTCAGGCGGGACCTCAACTGGAAGTGGATCCACGAGCCAAAAGGTTACAAAGCCAATTTCTGCGCTGGTAACTGTCCGTACCTCTGGAGCGCCAACAACCACTACAACATGGTGGGTTTCCGGGCTCAAACGCTAAAGTAATGTGTGACTGGAGATGAACACTCTGGCTGGTTTGTGAAGAATAGATTCTTAAGAGCACTGGAGATGCACCGATCCAGGATTTTGTGACTATTTTGTGATCACAGATCCTGTAAAATCTATATGTTTGTATTTACTTGTTAAGCCTAATTTTAAAAGTAGACAGGGTGTAAAACTGGGAGCTGGTTCCACAGAAGAGGAACCTGATACCTACAGAATCTGCATCTACTTTTAGAAACTCTAGGAACTAGAAGCAAACCTGCAGGCTGAGAAATGGGTTCAATAATCAATATATAGACTATTTACTGTACTCTGATCCAGAAACGCACAGCATTCTGGGAGATGTAGGCAGAGGAAAGACTTTAGCTGCGCAACTACTCACGGCCAGCTAAGAAAAGTTTGGTGGAGTCTAACTCACCAAACGTTGCTAGGTAACTCTTTGGTTACCTAGCAACAACATGTTGAGCAACTGCAGGTTCCGTCATCGTGCCTTATATCTGCTTAAAAAAAAAAAAATGATGGTACAGGGTGAAAACTGTGGATAAAAAAGAAAAATTCACACCACCAGTTTGGCAGTATTTCAAATATTTAAAAAACAAACAAAAAAAATGATGTAGTTATTGATATTAACTGATGTGAAACTCTTACAATGTGACACATTTTTCAGCCAAACATCTACCAATAGACGTTTCTGCTCTTAATTACTCTCCAAACACCTACTTTTTTATTTCTTTTGATGAATCTTAATTCACTGAAGATTTTAAGAAGAGCTGTCTCCTTTGAAGCAAAGTAAGAAGAAATTGGTGGTTTGAATGTTTTGCACAGCATCCCCTGCTCACTTTTGGCAATGACAAGATAAAAACATACCAGCATGTAAAACCATCCCAGAACGCCATCACAACGTCAGACTGACGTTTCTTAGGTGTTTTATTTTGCTTATTTCAGCAAGATTCTCTCAAAAACCTAAACCCCTTTCTGCACGTATTAAAACCGGGTGTCCCTGTAGTAAAGGCCTCCAGCTGGTTCTGTAATCTGTCTGCGGTTCTGACATGTCGACCACCGAACACATTTGGCTCGCAAATTGATCTGTTCAGCAGCTGAAATCATATATCAAGAAACGATGGGAAAACATTTAACTCTCAAAACTACATTTGGTTTCAGTCCGAACTCCAATAGTGTTATGAAAAGATCTGACGCAACAAGGAGGAAAAAATGCTTTTTTCCTAACTTTCCTGCAGTTTCTACATCCAACTTGTGGTTTTTCTGCTGTTTTCTATTGAC